TGAGTTACCCAAACTCAAGCCAGAAAATTTCAGGGGATCGTACGTGGCAACCATGTATAACGGGGAGCTGAATTTGATAAATTCAAGTTGTAGATGAGTTGAAAACATTTCTCATCACAATATGTGTTTTTGCATATATGAAAAAACGCATAAAAAGGCAAAAACACGCTTTCAATTATTTTTTTTTCCGTCCTAAACGCGTGTTGAACAGCGCATACCACGGGATCAGAACTGCCATCAGTTCGATTCATATTTTCAAAAAACGCCAGCATCAACAGCCCTGCCAAAAGGCGGTTGCAATCCGGAAAGTGCTAACAATTCAGCCATTTCGAATATTTCTGCTTCCCAAAAATAGCAAATTATTTGATTAATTTTGATCAAATTCTTGATTTCGCGCATTAAGGAACGTCTTAGACTATCAAGTATTCCCCCCTCCCCCCTCTCCTCTTCCCTTTTTTTCTCCCCAATACTACTTCATATAAATGAGACAGTATATTTTGAAAAAAAAAAGATTACTTTCATGCCGCTTTTATTCGCTACAATTGCATCCAGCGTTTCTTTTTCATGTGCATCACCACATGGTGCTAGTCGACCAAAAAATCGAAAATATCGCAAAATTCTTAAATAATCCTCCTAAAAGATAAATTTTTGTCACTACTGAAAAGGTATATTTGAGAGTTATTTAACGGCTTGAAGGGATATTTAAAGATTTAGAAGGATATCTAAAGTTTCAAAAATATTCTAAAATTTGACAAAATAGCATTAAATTATACCAAACAGCACTTAAATTTGTATCCAGAACGTACATCTCCAACAGATCAGTAATCATATCATAAAAAACATCGATGGAACTATCTTTTTTTTTCAAGTTTTAGCCACTTCTCCATTTTTTTCTAAGTAGGATTGTTAAAATCGGCTGAATAATTAATGTGCCGATTACTGAGATGCCACTGGCATAATCCCAGGCTCCCAGCTCATTGTTTTAGGCTACAAACTTCGTCCACTATCCACAACTTATTCCAATGTATGTGCAACACCCTCTTTCTCCCCCCCCCCCCCCCCCCCCCCCCCCCCCCCCC